GGTGTTTGCTTTTTGTTGTGCACTAAAACAGAGGGGCCAAGGGAACAGGCAGGATGGGGCACCATTTGCCTGCTTTCTGGCTGCAAGTTACTGTTTTCTCTTGACCTCTTTTACTCTCAGTTTTATCCTTCATGTTCTTTCTGGCCACAGTAGGTATTCAGGCTCTAGCAGGGTTTCAAGGACCTATTTTTTAACAGTGAAATAATATTCAGGATTTAGCTGTTACTATTTCCCGGATATATTTTACCACATGGTGGTATTTCTGTGATGTGGTTTACTGGTCGCTGGAAAATTGACATCACCAAAGACATCTCATTCACAGTCTAAGATTTTTATGATGAATTACAGACCTGCAAGCAAATAACTGGAATTGCAAAGCTGAGACTTCTGTGCTGCTTTGATCCAGTTTTTATTGACAGTGGAGACTGTCTATGAAGGAACTGTTGCATTCAGCGTCCATGTGATTATGATTAAGCCTTTAACATAAGACTCCTCTTTCCCTTGCAAACCAAGAACTGCAAAAATTTCCAGCATCATTCACTGTGCACATTTCTGTTCTGCACCTCAGCAGAGCGCCAGGGAGCACCAGATGCAGAGCAGCACCCATCGAAAGCCACATTCTAGTTTAGTTCTTCAATAGTTTTCCATGCAAGCCTCTGAAACTGGCAACAGACTGCAGCAATCTGGGGTCTGCTGAGCGATACTGAAGACCCAGCTCCTCAGGTAGGAAGTTGGAAGGCTGCAGGCACACAGCTAGTACCCGCTTCTTGTATTTGAAGCAGAAAAAGCAGCAGGCAACTGCAGAGGCCATCCTAGCTGAATACCAAGGTGCTGTGCTTGCAGGGCTACTTTGGACCAAGACATGCTGGTCAAAGCTCAGTCCCCCTGACAAAGGTGAATCAAGCCCCAAATCCGCAGAAATATTATAGTTCTACAGCATGCAAGTCTAAGGACCTCAAAAGCAGGTGGTTTGAATAAACTCAGGCTCCAAAGTACAAAGAAGTGTTGTGTAAGGCAGGACAGACTGTAGTTGTTTCTCCCATAGGTGCTTTGGTTCTGTAATACTAAATGGAGAAAAAAAAAATGTGCTTTACCCTGTGAAATGATGACAGATGACTTGAATACTGTCCAGCAACAGCTACAGTGATCAGGAAGGTGTCATCTCAAGGTAGTTACCCCTTGGCGTGTCCCTCTACATCTCAGGTTTTTTGTAAAACTATGATTATCACTAATGAGCAATCCTTGTTGAGGCCTCAGGGTCTCGTTCAGAAGTGACATGGGAAAAAGGTTGTGGAAACCCCCGAGCTTGTTCTTCCAGATTTTTTCTTTTAAAGGCAAGAGGCCCATGCAACTCTATCTTCTCTGAAATGTCTGTCTGGACGTTCATCTGAGCGAGAAAGTAATTTTAGCATCCATGACACACAGCTTCTGCAGCCATCCGATTGCTCAACGGCACAAAGAATAAATATTTCCTTAAGCCTGAGGACAGGAATCAGAACGCTGCTGGTTCCCCCTTCAGAAGCACCTGTGTGTGTGTTTTTTCAAGGCCTGAGTAACAGAGCAGTGCTTTGTAGCTCTGAGTCATCGCAGCTTTCCAACCCTACAAGCACAAGCATACTCTTGCTTGGCGTTCTTTTTAACAAATAGGCAAATAAACATAAACCAACAAAGGGCTGAAGGTCTGCCTGCAGCTTGACACCAGAACAGTGTCCTCCTGCAAACCTTGACATGAGCATGCCTGCTTTCCCAGAGAAGTCAGTGGTGCTACTCATGTGCTCAAAGGGTAAGCAGGTATTGGCATGCTTTACCAAACTGGATCCGCAAGGCCTGGAGAAGGTTTGTCTTTCCTCTGTCAGATATACTTGTTCTGAGGTAATGTTAGTTACCTGAAGGTAACTAGAAGACAAGCTGATTGGAGTTAGGAACTGGTGCAAATCTGTGTGCTTTGCAGACTTTAAAAGTGACAAATTATATTTACATAGGACACCTACCTAGAGCGCTTTGAAGCACTCATTTGCACATGGTGGTGGGATTTAATGGGCAGCTTCATCAATAGTGAGACAGTTAAAGGAACAGCCAGGTTGGCTTTTGTCTTACCACTTCAGAGGAGGTTGATGCCACCTCATTCATTGAGGCCCCTTCTCTCTCAGTATTGTCCAAATCACTCTGACCCACAGGCCAGCACCTGATGAGAGGAAGGATGTTCCAAGGGTTATGAGGCGAACTTGAGACTTGGGAGACTTGGTTTGGTTTCCTGTCACCTCTGTGAAGCTGGCTGGCCTCTGGGTGCAAGTTCCTCATCTGTGAAACGAATTACACTTCCCTGTCTCAGAGGGACACTGTGGCGGGAGTGGGCTGGTGACGGTGAAGCATCAGGTCATCGTGCACGAGTGCATCTCAACTGCCAAGGAAAGCCAATGTACCATCTGACAATGGGACACGCACGGTCCCCTGCAGAAGAATAAACAAGGGACAACCCATCTTCAATGGGGCTGTGTTAGGAAAAGGGCCCAAGTTCAGCTCCCACCCTAAAAAAATCCCAGGTGGCTTTTGTTTCCATTCCTGTCCTCTCTCCCCCTGCATCCTGTATGCTTGGCAGGCCCAGCCAGTCCATACCAGTGCAAAATCCCTTGCCTTTGGGAGGAGGCTGTGCTCACATGGAGGTTAGCACATGGATGCTGAGAGCCTTTTCTTTACAGCGCTGGGCGTAAATCAAAGGAGGGAGAACTGTAGCCCTGTGAATGCATTGGCTTGTGTGAAAAGGGGAAGGACACAGTTGCAGAAGAGGCTACTTGTTGACATAGAATGTAGATCTATGCAGCTGTGAGTTATACCATAACAATAGCCCTTTTTATATGGTAAAGCACAGAGGTATGAGATGATTTCCAAAAGGTGGCTGAGCAATTCACCTGTTCCACTAGCCTTGGCACCAGGGAATTGCTGCTTCTCCTCAGGCTGAGCGGTGATTCTCAGTAATTTTTCCAGAACTTCCAGCTGAATGCTCTTTATTTGTATATCCTCACTTAAAAAGGATGACTTTGCCCTTGTTTGACACTTCAGTAATTTTTTAGCCTTTTCTTCTGAAGAGGAACTATCAAACTGGGGCAAACAAGGAAGGAGAGGACATTCTGCGACAAAAAAGTGAGTGACCAGACCTGTTGTTGGTCTCATCACTTTTGTTGCCTTTTCAGATGGCTAGGAATAGCAAATCAGTTGCTGAAGACCTTCTCTCTGCTGCTCAGTCCCTCAGCATTGCCTCAGTCCTGTGCTGGACAGCTTACTGCTTTAGCAGACACCGTCAGAACGAGCATTACAGAAACCGAGCTCCTTCGATGACAGGAGTGTTTTCAGTGGTTCCCCTGGGACACTGAGCGGTGTCACTGTTCCATTGCCAGGCTGGCCCGGCTTTCCATTTCCTAGATCACCTCCTGCCTTGCCAGCACTGATCATTAGCCTGTGCTCCACAAACACAAAATGCAGTGTTTGTTCCTAAACCTATATGACGTAATCACAAGATGGGTACTGCTAATGAATGCAAAGAGACATGGAAATGGGGAGACCACAGAAAGTTTCTTGTAAGACTAGGCTTTTAATTTGACGTGGGATTGTTGTAATAATAAAAAAATGGCTCAAAGTTGTTCATAAGCTGCAAAAATATAGAAACTCAAGACCTCTGACTTGAGGTACTTCTTTTGTTCCAGACACAGCTAGTGCAGTTTTGATAAAAACAAGTCGTGCACCAATCCATGGCTCAAACTCCAAGCCAAAAGGTGGTATTCTAAAGAAAAATGTCGACCTTTTTGGTCATCTGTAAGTTACAAGACCTTCCCAGCATTAGAAGAGGACAAGAGGCTTAGGGATAAAGATTTTCTATTTAAAGAGAGCGCTGTTGCTGAAACTAGAAAAGGAGAAGAAAGGAAGTAAAGACTTAGAGGAAACAAGAGGAGAATGCTAAGTAGAAAAATAGAAGCCAGTGTTAGTGTTATGGCTGTCTTATGCTGTTAGATGGCAAAACCTTACTTTATCCAGCAGCAGCTTTATTGCAGTTTACTCAAGGTAAACGGGATTTTAACAACTGTATCTAATAATGAAGGACTGCTTGCTATGGGTCAGATTTTGAGTCATCTTATCTGTTGAGAGATCGACAACTGTTTGCAAGGTGTTGAGTTTGTTTGAAGGATTGGTACTGGGGGACTCCTGGGCAGATGAAGCAGAGTCAGTGAGGAGGAGCTTGTGCTCGGCTGTGTGTAGGACCAGGGAGGGCATATGAAGGCCCATAAGAGCTAGAGGCAGCACTGCTACCTGCTTTGCCCATGGCCTCTCACTTTAACAGTTTCAGGTGTTTTGGGGCTGGTTTGGTTTTGAGTTTGAGAAGCAAAAAGCTGTTGTCTTAATTGTATCATCTCTGCAGGACACAGCGGGAGCTAGAAAACGCTGCAAAATTAAAGCCCAGTATTTCCTGGAGCTAGCCAGGGGTGTTGTATATCCCAGTTGGAAGCTGGGAGCTTCTTTTCCAGCAGTATAAATCATTCACCTTACTTGTTTGCTGAATGTTATACCTTAAAACTGTCAGTTGCTCAGGTCTTGGTGTGAGGTTGTATCTGCGGAAGAGACTACAGAAGTATCTCTGTGCCAGTTAGTATCTCTGTGCCAATTTTCTGTTCTTTACAATTGTTTTAAAGTCATAGATTTCAAATATTAGAGTACTGTAAGAAAAGGTTATATAGTAGGCCAAAAGTTCATGACAAATTGCAAGACTGTGTTATTTATTTACCACCTGGCTGTATTACAAGTCCCTGTGTGTACAGAATCAAGTACATATTCTTAGTGTGCCTACAAAATGCCTTTGAAGTCATAAATGTTAGGTAATTTTTACTGCTTAGCTATCAAAAATGCTATAAAGAAGAAATGTTTTCCTCTTCTCTGCCAGCACCATGACTAGGCAGGTCTGAAGCTCTTTGAGTATATTGGTTCTCATGTCTTCTCTCTCCTTATTCCAGCTGTCACTACAAATTACTCCGCTGTGTGAAAGCGAACAACACTATGAATACTCTGGACGGTGCTGCACAAAGTGTGAGCCAGGTATGTGGGCGCTGGGCTGTAGCAGCTTCAGAACTGAAGAGCTCATTAAAACCAGCTCTGTGAGTCAGTAAGGCAGCTCAGTCTTGTAACTCTGCTAATCTATTGGCACATTCTCTTGCAGGTATTTGATTTTAGGCTTACGAGTGTCTTCTGGTGCAGGAGTGGCCCTGCTGACCTCAGCAAAAGCCATAGCAGTTATTTTGTTGGGATAGCACTTATCCACTGCAGGAGGCAGAAAGCAACTTGATTCTTGTGAACATGGGTAGGGCTGCTCCCAGGCCATAGGCTTTGTGGATGTTTCAGTGCCACACTAGATGGGGGCCAGACTGAGGAAGTGAAAAGGTGGCAGGAAGAAATGATTGTTCACAGCAGTGTTAGCCCAACCTGTTATTTTCCCTAAGCTTCTTAGACAGCTAGTGTGCAACTTGCAAATGGCCTACTTGTCCTTCTGTCATTGACAGGAAAGTATATGTCTGCCAGATGCACTGAGACTTCTGATAGTGTGTGCACGCCATGTGGCCCAAATGAGTACATGGATGTCTGGAACGAAGAAGATAAATGCTTACTACATAAAATATGTGATCAAGGTGAGCTATTCATACTGAAGAACCTTTCAATCCAAATTAATGAAGCACAAATATGGGAAAGTGGGTCTAAGGAAGTGGCTTTGTTCGGGTACCCAGCACTGGAAGCTGGGCTTGGAGAAGAGCCTGATGGAGAGGGAGGTCCCCAGACAGCAGAGCTTCTGTGCTGAGCACTGCAACCACAGTCTCCATGCTACTGATAATTGTTATCTTCACTGGGGCCATTCACCTCCTGTGAGTTGATCTCAAAAGCTGTCCTTTTGCCCAGCATACCATACATTCACTTCCTCTTAACACATTCATCCCACCATTGCAAAAGCTTTGTTTATTTCCCTCAGCAGCAACAAGGAAAATAAGTATTGTTCAGGAGTGCAATCAGTGAAGAGCCCCCTGTGCTGATCGAGGGTCTGCTGTGCATCTTCAAAGATAACATTTCCTCTAACATGGGTGGGTTTGCGTCTGGCATTTAGGCAAAGTCAGTAGGTAGAACAGGAGGTTCATAAACTTGAGGCTTATTACCAGAGACATTTTTACTTCCATTTGCTTTCTCTTTCAGGGAAAGCCTTGAGAGAAGTGAACCCAGGAAACAGCACTTTCCAGAGGCAGTGTGCTTGTACAGTGGGTTACCACTGGAATGAAGACTGTGACTGCTGTCAGCGAAATACCATATGTGCTCCAGGATTTGGAGTCAAGCATCCTGGTAAGATACAGAAAGGGGACATACAGAGTGAAATGACCAGCCTTGGCCTACAAGGTAAGGCCAGCATTATGTGGGTTGTGATATTAGAGAGGACACTTTGGACTCTCAGATGACTGTCAACAGAAGATGCATATCTGAGTTATCTTTACTACTGCATATAATCCTCCTGGACTATTTGCATTTTGAAGGCTTCTATGTTTGTAAAGTAGTATCTTAGATCAAGTGATTTTTACAAGACACCACATGGACCTGACACTAGTTGCAAGGTGTTCAGTATATTTCTAATGCTTGCTGAGGTGTCTGACTGTGAGTCATGCATTGCTCCAGTGTTCAGAACAGCAGTCCATTCAGAGAAGCAATTCCTGAGGTTGGATTTGAAATCAGGTTTTCTTCAATGACTTTGCTTTGGCATTTTATAATGTTATAAGCAAGCTAAAAGTTGTAATGAGCACTGAGAAAAGCTGTGCCAAGCATGTGAGGAACCCCAAAAAAGCAGCATGTAATAGAGTCAGGGAAGATGAAATGCTGCATGGACTGGACCACAGTGGTGCTGTTTTTTCTCCACTCTAGCAAGTCCTGATACAGCGTTTTGTTTACTGTGGCTTCACAGAAGTGACAAAACCAGTTAGTGTCACTGTCTGTGGCATAGCATTGACATGAGGAAGTTAATGGAAGGGGAAGGATATAATAGTTGTGTGTTATTTCACAACAACTACAAATGGCTCCTGGTCATTTCTCATTTTGATCATGTAGAGAAGTGCTCAGGTGAGACTAACATTTTTTTCTGCTTACATATGACTGTGATTGCTGCTCCAATGTAATCTAAGATCCTTCTCTTGTCAGGGAAGCTTTTCAAGGGGGCTGGTGGGATGAAGCAGGAGGATGGGGAGCATAATCACCTTCTCCTCACCTGAAAGGAAATTCAGCTATGAAGTTTTTCTTTCTTTACTACACACAGTGCAACAAGACCAGGACACAATGTGTATACCATGTCCCAGAGGTTACTTCTCAAAGGTCGCTTCATCTACTGACGAGTGTAAATCCTGGACCAAGTAAGTCCCTGTATCTTGTAAGAGGACCACAACAGCCAGGAGACTGGGAGAAGCTTGGGTAAAAGCATTTTTCAGTGGGGCTTTTCAGGCTGTCTGCAGAGCACACAGAGCATCTCTGTTGGTAGTGCAGCAGTAAAAGCATTCTCACACTGAAGCTTGAGTTCTCTCTTTTGGAATAAGAGAGAGCAGTAACAACAGAACTGCTGAGCTGAGGCACCTGAAAATAAAGATGGTATCTGAGGTTCATACGGGTGGAGAAATGCAGAAAAAATGTTGTATGTTACAACAGAAAGTGCTACTCTGCATAAATGTAGGAGCTCTGACAAGCTTCCTCTTTGAGAACCTAGGCTCTTTGTCTTTCTTTTTCAGCTGTACAGCTCTAGGAATGACAGAAGACATGCCTGGGACTGAGAAGTCAGATGTAGTTTGTGCAGAATGGAAGGTGCCAGAGCCATCAGAAGATGGTACGTGTCCTTGTACAGGTTACCTGTTAGAAGGTGGCAGGCAGGAGGAGGGTTGTGTTTACTAGCGGTTTTGGCTGGCTTAACTCCATTCCCATTGTGGGTGACTTTAGGGGGAGCTGCTGTAGGCCAAGACCGTGTTCTTGGAAAATCTCACCATTAAAGATTACTTGAAGCCTTGTGACTCTAGGGCCCATGTCTACTGCTAAGCAGAGCTTTACACCTCCCACTGAAACTGCATGGCAAGCAGCAATGCAGTTATACTCATGACCTCCAGGGGAGAAATCACAGCCCATGGACTGCTGGCTGCTTGAAAGAGGACTTCCAGAGGAATATGACTGGGTCACACCTCTCTGAGACACAATGACTCTGGTTTCTTATAGAGATGGCTCTTTTCTTTATAGAGATGGTACCTTCAGTGAGGCTGCTTGTCACAGAACTGCATGAGTTCTAAAGCTGTTGTCTTTATTAGAGAAACTAAAAATCAAATAGGAAGGGAAAAAAACTCTCTTGTGGAAAAGCAGGTGAAATGAGAAAGGATTGTCATACAGCTGAGTACAAGCTGTATGTTGATGGCACTATCTTTTTTACATCCTGCAGGAGCAAACCAGATCTTATACGTGTTGATTGTCGTCTCGTTTTTTGTGGCACTAATTGGCATTGTCATCTTCATTGTATACTACAAAAATAAGGGAAAAAAGCTGACAGGTACGTGTAGCTCGCGATATTCATGCATGTGACAACTGCATGACTCTCTGTACACTGATTTCATGGATAACTACCATGTTTAACTACATGCTGCTCTGCACCACGTGGCACAGAAGAGCCCTTGGCCAAAGGGAAGCAGACACAGTCAGAGGGGGCTTTTGCCACCTCTTGTCTCCTTTGTCCCACTCTCCCTCCTCCTCTGAAACCAGCATCCGGACAGGTTAAAATATGGATTTCAAGACAAAGTCTACTGTGCTTTTGAAAACATGATGGAGGCAGTGTTTCTAGCTGAAGTTCCGATGAGGTATGGGGGAAATACTATAAGGACATAGAATAAAACAGTAAAATTACAAAGAAAAATTTCAGCAAAGGCATGCTGAGTGACATTGGGGTTCTCAGTATATTATTAATTCAGTGGAATTACCTTCAACAGTTATTCAACTCTGTGTTAAGCCCTGGATCTCCTTAGTTTAAGGACATACCCATATTGTTCCGTTCACATTTTATTTTCTCCCCTGAAACACAGAATGTTTTTCCTTGTGTAGTTTTCCCATTGTCTCCTTTCCCAACCCCTAACAATGTATGAAATGTTTTGGGAACAGTGCAAGGGAAGAACAGCAACCCTGTCTTGTAAAGTATATTTCAGCCCGTGTTTTAGAAATAGGGTGCCTCTGCCACACTAAACATGGGTTGTGCTAAATCTGGAATTCCTGGGATGGGCTGGAGGAAATGGTGACTCTTCTTGCAAACCAAATATGATGCAAAGCAGGTTAGGGGGGAGTTCTTTTTATTTGACATTTCTATAGCCCTGCTCTTCTGCAGTGAGGGTCCTTCATTGCGTTTGGGTGGTCAGTTCTGCTAACCAGAGCCCCAGAGGCTTGTAGGCTCAGCAAGAAGCTCTGCCTGCCTGATGAGACAGGGAACTGATGGTAAATGTGCAGGCTCAACATCAGAAGAACAGAGTCATTGCTGGGAACTGGCAGTGGCTACATGGCTGATCTATCTTCAGACATACAAAACCAGCAAATGTACATGAGACTCGAGCCCTACAAAATCTTCTGAAAGTATAAACAGAAAATAAGAATTGATAACTCTATTAAGTGGAAGCCATTACCATAAAGTATGTTGAACTTAAAGCTTTTCCTTGGAAAATGCTCCAATTAAATGAATTTCCTCATTAAGTACACCCTGATTAAGGAATAGGCTGCATTTGAGCCTGCCATCCTGTGGTTTCAGTGGCTTACCCTCTTCTCCCCAAGGCTCCTCACTCCTGTCTGAGAATGGCCTTTTGGCCATCCATGTGACTTCTCTTGAAATAGACCATACGGCTGCAAGCGGGTCGGTACTGGGCCAGTCATAGCCTGGTGTAACATATGACCAGGAAAGAAACCCCATTTGATGTGGAACACAGTTTAACTGTGGTCTATTTTAGGAGCTTGGAAACATTTGTTCCACAGAAATATATCCCTGTTCCAGTTACAATGAACCCTCAGCTAGAGTGATGCTGGTACACTTGAACAGTCAGTAAAAACAGTCTTGCTGGCTTTTTATTTAATATGATATTGTGGACTGTGCATGACTGGGGGTGTTTTGGTTTGTGGCTAACTGCAGTGCCTGCTATATGTAACAGCTACTCTTTTTGTTTTCCCTACAGCAGATCTACAGAATTGGGCTAGCGAAGTGTGCAGCCAAATAAAAGGCACAAAGGTAAAGTCAAAGCCACTAGCATTTTCTCTTTGGTTTATGTTTTCCTTGCAGCATTCCTTAAATCCCTCCTGAAACAGACTCCACGTTAGCATTTGGCTAAAAAACAAGGTTTTGGGTTCCTCCTTTGGTTTTTTTCAGCCTGTTTTTCTGTAAATGTGAGGCACATGAAATCACCATTCTCAAAGAGCTTCTGAACCTGCTCTCCTGTTTCAGTCAGTTTGAACAGATGGAAGAGACTCTGTGGTGGTTGAATATTTACGAGGAGAAAGTTAAGCCCACCAGTTGCTGAACACCTGACTTTCTACCTAGCAGACAGCCTTTCTAAATCCTAAGAGCAGGAAAAGTTTCAGCTGAGTTTGCACCCTTTTATATACCGAAGTGCTCACAGGAGAGAAACCTGGACTTGGAGCAGTGGCAAGAATGGCAGTAAGCACAAGAGCCATCAGTTAAAGAAACTGGCTGGGAGACACCTGCATTCTAGTGCTTGCAGAAATCCTTCTTGTCTATTCAGATGCAAAAAAAGTATGAGATTTTTCTCTGAAAGAACAGATCCCATGCTTGAAAACACCCAGATGGGGACACAGGTTCAAATGCATGTGCACTGCATGCTTCACACCATGGACATGGACTGAGGTGTTCAGGTGCATGCTCTCCTCACCACCCCATCTAGGAGCTCTGTCTAGTTTAGCTGTTGAAAGACTCAAATTCCATTACTAAAAAACCCCCATACCAAATAAACCCACCTTTCTGATCAGGAAGTTCCTCTTTTGTCTCATCATTTTTTTTGTGCAGCCTCCTGCCTTGGCAGCTGCTCAGATCCTCTGAGACAAAGGAGTGAATCAACAGCAATTAGTAGCTGGCAGCATTTACACTTTCCTTTTTATCCTGGAAGATCTGAACAGACATTTCAGATGAAAGGTATCAGTTTCCAAGTAACAGTTTTTACAGCACAACTTCCATGAACTGAAGGGATCCCTTGAAGTATTTCCCAACCTTTATGGGGGGGGCTGCAACCAAAAATACAGCTGTACTTTGACAAGTAGTGGCAGTATGAATGGCATTGTGGGCCTTTGCATTTGTTGTCCTAACATTTTCCAGGTTCAAGGAACATTACGCATGTGACTTTTTTTCTAGCTTGTCTTGGTCCCTCTGAATCAACCCAGTTTCTTTCTTCCATCATTACTGATAATAAAGATTTTACTCCCAGTAAGGTCCTCACAGTTCAACAGCCTTTCAAACACAGAGGGAGTTTCGAAACCCTTATAAGCTGTTAGGTAAGTCCTATTGATGGTTCATAAGGAACAACAGAATGCAGTGACTCTTCTAGATTTATTAACTCCTAAGTGCCTTCTTAAGAACTAGGAATAATCATCTCCCAAAATTAAATGCTATTGCCCCTGAGGCCTCCAGATATTTTTCTGAACACCCACTGAGCCCAGCACCACTGCTCACAGTTTCACAGCAGAATGGAATTACCCCTGAAGAGTCAAATATAGCGGTGTTCCTAAACCTCAGCGGCTCCACACCAAGAAGGAACTGAGATCTGCCTTTTCCTTTGTCTAGAAAGATAACCTCCTGCTGATCTATTTTGTAAATACATTTTTCTTTTGAATTTCTTTCAGGAGACCCCCAGAGATACATCTGTTACCATGAACATCGTGAATGTTGTTGTCCCCCAGACCTCGGAAGGCATGTGCCTCCTGGATCCCGCTGGCTCTCCTGCCCCTGGAAACGCATGTTGCATCAGTGGACATTCTCCTTGCAGGAAGGGGAGCCCCAGCATGGCACCGTGCGAGGTGGGAGGGAGCCTACAAGGGTTTTCTGTGGTAACTGAGACTGATGATGACCATTTCCCACCAGTTCCCACAGAAGATGAATACATGGATAAGGATCTCGGTACTGCTGATTATTTGTCCTTACCGAGCAGGACTGCCAGTAAAACCGTGTCATCATTTTCTGAACCGATGGAGGCAGGGGAGAACGACAGTTTAAATCAGTACTTTTCAGGGATTGGGAGCACAGAGGACGTATCAGTCTCTCAAGGCTTTCACCCTTTCACAGATGGGGCACACACTGCCACGGACAAACTTCTTCAGAAATCTTGCCAACATGCCCACAGTTGCCCAAAGGAAATTGGCAACAAAGACACAGATCATTGTGCAACAAACTCTAACTCAGAGAAGATCTGCGTGAGGTGTGGCATTTCGTACAGGGAATCTCCCAGAAAGTGGAGCAAATCCTGTTGTGCTGCAGCTGACAGTGACTCCACCTCCCCAGAAACTGGATCCTATGCACAGTGCACCTGTGGCTTGAATTTTCTCTCTGCTGGTCAGAGCACGCTAGCAAATGACCATGGTATGGAAGATGCATCTTCAGATAGTACCAACATGAAGTACCAGAACACAAGCAGAAGCACTTCAGGGACAAACAAAAGCACTTCAGGGACAAACAGCAGCACTTCAGACCTCCCTCCAGTATCTGGTAAGCCCACTAGGCTTGACCCATACACAGTCATATAGGATTCATTCTCTCTGCTAGTTCAGTATTATTCAGCGGTCTGATTTAGGAAGGGGGGGGGGAGGGGAGAAGAATGAAATGGTGACTTTTCACTTAATTGCCCTGAAGCTAAACTGAAAAAAAACCCCACAACCAAACTGAATCCTGAAATAGCAAAGCCTTTTGGTTTGTAATGATTTCTGTGACAAGTACGAGCACTGTGAGGGACCATTGTCCTGCCCTGATCTAACCAGCAATGCCGAGCCCATCTTCTGGTTGTCACTGCAGAGGCCAGGTAATTCTGTTACTGAAGTATTTTAGGGATAGCAGATGTGTGTACTGGAGAAAACTGAGAAGGAGGAGAGTATAGGAACCTAGAGACTGAGTTAAGAAAGCGGTCATAGCACTCAGAAGGGCAATTTTCCATTCAACAGTCTGTGCTCACATTTTTGCCATTAGGTTTAAGTCCAGTTACATTTATATGGTGGTCAGTGAAATTCCAGGCTGGAGCTGTTAATGTGGTGGCCATGACTGGGTCTGAAAAATTATGTTCCATTTTGTGCTTTTAGTTCTCTGTTTTAATTTGCAATGATATAAGCATTCACCTAAAAGTAATTTCATGCAGACATTGTTTCTCCATGCTCTGTCTCCTAAAGCATACTGGAACACTGTTGCCAGTTTACTAATTGAGTAACTATATCAAAATTGTCAAATGAAAGCAGGTGAAATATCACTGAAGCAAAACTGGTAGAAGGGAAGTTATGAGCCTTTTCTGGATGAAACCTTCCTCTCTTTTTACTATAAAAGTCTGCAATCTGCCTGTCACGTGTTACCAGTCACTTTAGGTTATAACCTCTTAAGGTCCAATGCTTTCTTTTTATTGATGTCGACACATTGCCAAGCATAATGAGACCTTGGTTTTGACTGAGACATCTAAGGATTACTGTAATACACATAACAGTTGTAAGCAGTTGCTCTTCCCTAAAACCATGTTATGCTTTAAAGTTTCTTACGGAGACATTCTTGTCAGTCTGCCAAAGCCGACAAGCAGCATTTTGGAAGGCCTTCTCTCAACACACATGCCTTGTGGGAATCTGAAAGTGTGTGTCTCAGTCTTCCTGAGAGCAGTACTCCTTCTGCCGTTTCAGTTTCCTGAAATCCTGACACAGTTTCACTGCCTGGTCCATACAAAATTCAGCAGTGGTGAAGAGAACACAAGATTATCTTTTGTTGCTGTTGTTGGAAAGTGACTCTGAGGTACAACCGAAAGCCAAATCATATTTGGCACTGCAGAAGTATTGCTTTTCTTTCTAAATCTGACAGGAAGAGGAAGAGAAAATATTAAGAAACAGTAGTGCAAACAGGAGAGTTTGGATTTAAGTGACATGCTAGGAAGTGCCATCTTGGCTCTGCAGCAAAATAATTTCCATGGGATTTTTATTGTGCCTGTGCCTTCAGGTATGTAGATGCTACAGTGCCATCTGGTGAAACCTGAGCACAGATGCTGTCTTCCTAATGTACCATTTTTTAGGCATGAATGCTGGAAGGTACTGACTGAGCTGTGGGCAGCATGAGAGTGTGGATTAGTTAATCTGCAGGTCATATGGCTTGCTGGCAAAGGGTTTTTTCTGTCCACGGAACGGCCATGCCCTGCTGGCAGTGCCTGGTTGCACAGGGAGTGGGACAGGGCTTAGCCATGGTTTCCACACTGAAGCACCCTGGCCACGCTGGGGCTGCACGTGGAGCTGCAGCGGCATCAGTCGTTTTGCTGGGCCTTCTGCAGTGGCCAGATGGAATAAACATGTGTGCAAAATAACTTTCTGTAAAGCTTCTCAAAGCAACTGAAGCCACCAGGCTTCGCACAGTCATGCTAAGACAGAACAGTTCAAAAGAGGGTGGCTTAAAAAATGGGAACAAAAAGGCCATGGGTAATTCCATGAAGTTTTGATTTTAGTTTCATAACACTCAAAATGACAATAGAAATTGCAAACTCTGTTCCTTCTGTGAAATAATCCTAGAAGACCAAAATAAACCTCTAGACAGGTACCACTTAAAGGCATTACTGCCAGTGACAAAGTGGGCCTTTAAGTGCTCTTTCAAACCCCACAAACCTGAAGGCAGTCAGAACATGAAGCATCAGTTCATGACCACTCCAAATCATGTGTAGGGCTACAACGTAAAGCATGGGTGCAGGAAGACTTAGGTGACTTGCAACTTGGAATGGTTTTCTCTGAATGCCTTTTTCTTCCAGCTTCCAGTTTGGCAGCAACAGTTCTTACCACCTAGAGGCCATCAGATGGCTCAGAGAAAATTAGTCACCTGCATTGTTCCAGTTCATAGTGAATAATTAGTGCAAAAAAATAACTTGTTATTGTAATTACTATCATCAGGTAGTATGAAGAGATCAAAAGGCTGAAACCTTGCAGAGAATGATGCCTTCACTTATCCCCTGAACATGTCCATTATACTTTTCAGGTTGGAAGCACACATCTTAGTGCAGTCCAGGAAGCCCTTGTGTCCATTTTCCATGGTTTTGGGCCTCAAATACCCTTCTGTTTCATCACAGTGCCTTCAGAAAGCAATGAAGATTTGGCAGCCACATTCAGCTAGACGTTATAAATGTGTTAATCTGCCCCTCATCCCCACTGTCACATATATTTCTAAATTCTTGACCTCATACTGAGCAGTGGTAAACATCTCCACAGTACCTTTTGCAAGTGATAGGACACCTGAATGAAGGCAAACAGTTGTTTTTGTATTCCCATTATGCCTAACAGTTTTGTTGATGGCAAACAGCTGAACCAAATCGAACACAGGGGATTGCAACTGGCAGGGAAAAAACTCCCGCAGAGAAAACTCCTATTGACACCTCATGTTAATCAACAACATTTGGAAAGAAAGCAAAGAGCTAGCAATGCAGTGGTTTAGCAGAAATAAATAGGATTGCTTGAGGGGGGCTATTTAGAGAGACACTTGAGTGATACTCAGACTTGGCTATGAGCAGATATGGGTCCTAACTCAACACAGCTGGAGCCCAGTGTCCTTTGCTGATGTGCAAACATCACCTGTGGCTGCTAGAAAAACAGGATTTCTCTGGGGTGGGCCATGCTTAGCTGCAGTGAAAGAAGGAATGTCTCAAGTGTTGAGGATCATAATGAGGAAAAGCACAAAACATCTGAGAGCTGTCAGATCAGTCCGCAAGAAATGATTAAGTGAAGCACAGCAGGAAGAACATTCCTTAGGAGGAGTGTTCATAGGCTAGGAAGATTTTTCTCTTTTTAACTTAGTTGCTTCAGTTTGATTTTGAACCTTGAACAAGTTTGTTAGTTTGTGGTTGAAAGTTTGCTCTGAGTTATTTTCCTTCTGCTCTGAGGGAAGTCTATTAATTCCCAATCCTGGTCCTACAGTCACTTGAGTCAGCAACTTAGTCCCTGAATGGTAGAAAGATTGAATTTATACTGACAAATCCCTAACCACGGGCAGATAGACTGAAAACATAACTATGTTAGGTTGCTATAATATAGACTGCCTCTTCACTGGAGTCAGCATATATCCAAGTAAATCCATGAGAGCACTAGGATGAGTACTGGAGTGTACCTACAGGGAGGATCAGGACAATTATCAGATAACTGTCTCTGTCATTAGGACACTGTGTGACTGTATGGTCTGACATTAAGTCTTTCAGTATATATTCAATAATCTTGCTACCTAGCCCACACGGTGCGATTGATTGTTTACGAAAGGGGAAAAGAACCCCAGTGTGATGCTTGGGAATTATCTCATAATTAGAAATAATGACCATTTCCTCACAAATCATGGACATAGGCACTTTGGATACAGCTTGTGCATCGGGCAGCACTGGGGGCATGAGATTGATGCTCTCACTTTTGCTTCCAAGAGCACAGCTGAGAGAGAAAATGTTTCCAAGCCTTGCAGTCAGGATCCCTGTGGGTGACTGACTTTGTCCTAAGGAGGCAAAAATGGAAATAATGAGAAGGTACAGTGGAAGGCATAGATTAAAAGAGCATCCTTGTGTCACGGGGAAAAAAACAGTGGAACAAAAGTAAAGCCACCGCTGCGGATTAAATTCACAGCGCTGAGTGTCCATCTTGTGAGAGGAAAACACTAATCACATGTGTCTTCTTCTCTCCCCCTCCTTCCCCAGGAAACGTGACTGGAAACAGTAACTCCACCTTTATCTCAAGCGGACAAGTAATGAATTTCAAGGGCGACATCATTGTTGTCTACCTTAGCCAGAACTCCCAGGAGGGCGCAGCGGCCTCGGGGCCAAGCGAGGAGAACGTGGGCAGCCCGGTGCAGGAGGAGAACCTCAGCCGCTGCGAGACGTTTGCCGGCAATGCCCAGCACTACAAGGAGAAGTGTGCGGAGCTGCAGCAGGGATCCTGCCCATCCGCGGCGAGCGGGGGGCCACGGTGGCTTGCGGGTTCCCTGCCCCAGGAGCAGAGCCCATCCTGCTGCAACCAGGCCTTGCGGCCAGTGCAGGAGGAGGGCAAGCTGGGACACTTCTCGGAGAAGGTGTTGAACTGAGGCCAACCGGCAAGGGGTGGTGGGGCTGCCATGGGGCTGCTGAAATCCCAGGTGTCACAACAGGTATGGAGACTGTTGCTGCCCATGGGGTATCCCAGGAAGTCTTACAGCTGGAAAGGACGCTTGTGGCACAAGTGCCAGCACTGGTGCTCTTGCTGAGGAGGTTACTGGTAGGGACAGGCACACATGTGAAGCAGGCACACTGCCCTCGTTGCAGAAGCAGCAGCAGGGCTTTCTCCTCTCCCTCACAAGGTGGTTGGCTCCCACTGGACCCCACTCCCTGGCACCTCTCTACAGCAAGCAGCAAAGGAGAATTGATCCTTGTAGCCCAGGGTGTGGTGAGGAGGAAAATGTTGCTGGCCGGGCACGTGGGGTGCTCCCGGAAAAGGGATAACATGGTGGAGGATGCACTGAAAGGGGCCCTGAGCTCTGCCATGGGTGTTTCTTTTTGCAAGTAAGCTGCACCCATTCTGCCGGGTCTTGGGCCTCCTCAATGCCTCTGTGGTAGAAGGAAGTGGCAGCCACCTCTGCTGCTGAGCATAGTGACACTGGCAACCTTTGCCTCCCTGCAGAGATCAGGCAGGTGCTGTCATCCCTTCCCATCTTTCCCTGAGGAAGCAGATGTTCCAGTCTCAAAACAGGGCCAGAGCCAAGATCCTGGCCTGCCTCTTACTACCTTGTGTGTAAGCATAGGTGTAATGCTGCCCCACAAGCACTATGACAGGCAGAACAGCTGGTATGCCTTAGAAGCATATTAGATAAATCCTGAGCAAAGATCATTTATAGTTTTGGAGCCTGATTCACCTCTGCATTGCACCTCACCAGAGGAATCCACATCCCTGAAGATGAGAGTGACGAGTGCCTGGCATGCTGCTGCATGAATAATGTCACTGAAGTTTAAGACACAGAGCTGCTAGCAGGTGGAGGAAGGGTCTGTGATAACCAGCTGTGGTCATTTCCTGAGTGACAGGAGAGGGAAGGATTACCTAGCGATGGAGAGTTTGATCAGGGTCAAACACACATGCCTTCATCTGCCCAAACAATTCTGTCATTCCCTCTGACATTTTCATTAGCAAGCAGAGCTCTACTTAGGTAGCATGAAGTTATTTCCAGAGCTCAGCCTGCCTGAGCTGAAATCAGACTGTAGCCACTGTCACAATGAGAGCTGATAAGCAATGGGGCCAAAGGTTCAGATTTAAAGAATAATAGTAGTAGTAGTAGTTGGAAGGGAGTCTTAGCTACTCAACTGGCCTTGGTTCAGGTCCCGTATCCTGCAGCCTCCTCCAGCAGCCACTGTGGGGAGAAAGGTGAAGGGAACAGAGTCTTAAGGAACTTCCAAGAGGAAAAGATAGTATTTTTAATGATTTCCTGACAAGGGGTAATTCTCTGACATTCTCCTGCACAAGTGAGCACTGCAGGAGGCTATCTTCAGTTTGAGCCTTCCGGAGGGTCAGTGCTGTGTTTCTTGCCAGACAGTAAAGGGATCTCTTACCTAGTGTGATGAAAGAGGTCTCTGGTAGGGAGGGCTCCTCCCTGAGGAAGTTTTAAAGCTGAGGGGTTCACTGTGTAGCTGCTCTGTTTGCAATAGTATTTCTCTGCAGGTGAAGAACACCTGTAAAGCTGACAAGCTGACACTGTGTCATGATAATGGATGTGTTATCCATAATACAAAAGGATGGGCTTAGCCAACTTCACCTCTCAGGAGAACAGTTCTGCATTATTTATATATCTGGGATGTAAAGTTCAGTACAAAATTTCAAGTCTGTCTTGGGGGGCTGGCAAAAAGGGCACTGAACAACTAGTCTCCTTTTCAGCTCTGCATGGCCCTCCTAGCCTAGACTCAGCCAGGCAGGTAGGTTGTCCCATCCAGTAATGGCTACGTCTGCCTCTTTGAAGGTGTGTAACTGAGGCTCTTTTATCTCTGGTATTCTTTTGTCCTTCCTGCTGGATCCTTTACAACCTACTTCTAGCCTCTGCTGGCCTAATTCAGTATACCCTAGGCACTGGTGCAGTAGGGACAAGGACACAGAGCCACCAACACCTTGATGCAAGGTGGTGCAGATACTTCCCCACTTCGTGTTTTCAGTCATGTTTTCCTGGAAAGCATTAATCCAGGATATCAGCACCACTTACAGGGCAGAATTCTTGCGCTTGGCTCTGGCTAAACAACCTGGCCGCAAGTCCATCTTCTACTCCTTCTCCCTCTGCAACTTTTTTTCTTCCATTAGTTTGTATCTGCCCCCAGAAAGCAGGCTCAAAATCCTGATTTCAGAGAAGGCAATGGCAAGTTTACTAGGTGTCCTAAGTCTTCTGAATGTCAGGATCCTCCTGAGCAAGGACTGAAATGAAGATCATCAAGTGTGAAGAAATGGATCATAATAATCTTGGCACTTTGTCCACTTCCTTATGGGAAACGTGATGTTCCAACAGATCCATATTTCCTATAAGTCTACCCAAAAGTGAAGAAACCATATCACACTCCTCGTTGTGCTGCATGTTCCCTGGGTCTCTGCCTGGCTGCTTAGACATGGATCCAAAGGGACTTCTCATCCTCGTGATTTCATTTGCCATCAGTTTGGAGCTGGGGCTGGTTTTTAACATCTGTTTGTACAACAGGGCCCTATGCATTGGGCACTAATTTGGAGGCTTCTGGCTGCTATTGTGATACACATAATTAATGATAATAAAAATCTTAAAGATCTACTTGAGAAAAAGTGAAGAATTTCTTTACATTAGTGGACAAAAGCAAATACATTTTTATATGCCTATTTTGACCAAAAAAAAAGAGTAGTTTAATGTGAATATAAAAACTTTCCCAGTCAGGTCTTTTTAATACCTTTTGCATGTAGAATTGTTTTAACAGAACACAAACCCATGCTCATACACAGAACCAAACAGGAACTCTCATAGATCTGGTGTAGTAATGCCTTACTGCTGAGAACTGGTCACCTATTCCAGCTCATTCCTGAAGTGTCCTCCTGCACAACATGCATTTTTACAAGTCTTTCAGTCTGAGAAGCCACAACATGCATTATTCATTATGAATATACTTCTGCATATAACCATGGAAAAATGAGGAGCAATCTATTGATCAAGGGCACTGGAACAGCCATTCTTATCCACATGGAAAACAAGATAGCATAAGCAGTAACTGCTGTTAATCTGTGTACTCTGCTACGTGTTCACATAGAGATTGGAAATCACTTTACAAGGCTTACAGCATATCTGGGAGTAGCATCACTAGAATGTCATAATTTTTACTTGTTCATTCAAGTTCCCTTCATTTTATCATACTGATGGTGTCTGAGCAATTATACCCCTGTGCCTATTAGAAAACAGAACTCTGCTGAAGAATGTCTGTGCTAATCAGGTGTCTAATAAAGCTGTAGTTTTATCAGATACCTCTCTATTCAACTTAGGCAGTAGTGCACCCTCACCACCACCCTTAAAAACTATCTGCAGCAACTGGAGAATTCACTTCTGCCAGTGCATGATACTAGACATGGTAAAATGGCTGCAAACTCTTGGTGTGAAAAAGTTATTTCTGGAATATGTAGCATATATTATTAATAGATACTTAATAGTAGTCACTGAAAATTTGAAGTGTACTTGATTAAGTTGCCTGAGGTTTCTTGCAAGGAATCATTGACTGGTTTGCGTTGGAAGGGGTCTTAAAGACAGTCTAGTTCCATGCCACCTGCCATGGGCAGGGACATCTCCCACTATACGAGGTTGCTCAAAGCCCTGTCCAACCTGGCCTTTGAACACTGCCAAGGATGGGGCAGCCACAGCTTCTCTGGGCAACCTGTGCCAGTGCCTCACCACCCTCATAGTGAAGAATCTCTTCCTTACACCTCATCTAAATCTACCTTTGGCAGTTTAAAGCTATTCCCCCCTTATCTTATCCCTATAAACCATTGTAAAAATTCCCTCTACAGATTTCTTGTAGGCCCACTTTAGATACTGGAAGGCTGCTATAAGGTCTCACAGACCCTTCTGTTCTCCAGGGTGAACAACCCCAACTCTCTCAGCCTATCTTCACAGGAGAGGTGCTCCAGCCCTCTGATCATCTTCATGGCCTCCTCTGGACTTGCTCCAACAGTTCCATGTCCTTCTTGTGTTGGGGACCCCAGAGCTGGACACAGTACTCCAGGTGGGGTCTCATCACAGCAGAGTAGGGGGTCAGGATCACCTCCCTTGATCTGCTGACCATGCTTCTTTTGTTGCAGCCCAAGATATACAGGTGGCTTTCTGTGCTGCAAATGCGCATTGCTAGCTTATGTTGAGCTCCTCCTCAACCAACACCACAAAGTCTTTCTCCTCAGGGTGGCTCTCAATCCATTTTCCACCCAGTCTGGCTTTTTGCTTGGGTTTGCCCCAACTCAGGTGGAGGCCCTCGCACTTGGCCTGATTGAACTTTGTGATGCAGAACCACTCCAAACTTTATAAGCTAGTTTTCCAAACCTCCTTCCAAATGGCTGTTGCTGTTTTCAGTCTATCAGGAATAATTTGATGTTGACCTGAAAGTCACATGCTAGGGAAACCTGCCCACAGCGCTGCTTTACAGCACACTTGCTGGGACATGTTGGCACCAGAAAGCTATGCCTGGCAGCATTTGACCTTTGAGGATTCCCACCCCCTGCTCCCCACAATGTTAAATGCCAAGAGTTGGCATTCACCTTGGCTGAGTTGTAATGATATCTCTGGAAAAGTCAAATTGGTAATTTTACAGCAGTCACAATCACTGCTGAAGCAAGGGGCATGTGATTCCAGGTGTTGATGGGAGCAAGTGCCATTTCAGACAGAAAGATTGTCTCTTCTTGCCTGGCATTATCCTAATTTCCAGAATGAAGAGTGAATTGTTGCTATACAATAAATGATTTCTCACAGAGCTCTGCCATAGGAAATTTTACTGTGCCTTTGTGTTACAGTGTCAATCACCTTGTTGAGTGGGAAGGCTGAAGCAAAAAATGAAATGCAAACAGCTCCTTCATATCCCAATTTCTTGAACTCAATTCCATAGTAAAAAGTATTACTTTACATATGATTGCTAAGTCCACATTAACAAATGTTGTAAGGGGCAAATAAAGAAGGGCATTTCCCCTTTCTCCTGCCCCAAATTCAGATGAGGAACTGCTGTTGTTTAAGTGGTGTTGCTGATCCTCCTTACCTGAGGAGATGGTGCAGGAGAAATTCCTTGCCCTTCTTTTTTTCCTGTTCTTGTAGGGGGTTTCATACCTTTTTATTTCTTTCCCCACTTTCACCAAGCATGGGACGATTTTTTTGAGCTGAATTTATGTTATTTTCAACCATTGTTAGGCCTTCAAACCCATTCTACCCAGCAACCAGGGCCACACTCCTCTATGGGCAATGTGCAGTTTTTACATGTACCGTCAAAGGCCTCTGTTGTCATCCACTATTTGTACCCTAAGGGGTCCCCATGAGGACTCACCCTTGACAGACCCTAGCTTATACCTGTATTTCTTATTGGTCTCACTTCAGTAAGTGTGGTTGCCTGCCTTTTCTTTCTACAGGGCATCAAAGCTTCTTGTGGCCAACAAGTAATTGTGTCATCTCTGCAGCAAGGTTTGCTAGCCCTCTACTCTTGCCTTCAGCTCCTCCAGTGCTTTTGCTGCATTGTCATACACTTGTTATGTTTTTGGTTTCGGGTTTGTTTTTTGTTGTTAGTTTTTTGGGGTTTTTTAATGTAAGCCACAGTGTCTGATTGGATGTGTTTTAACACTGTTTTTTTTTTCCTTCTTTTGTCTAGCTATCTATGGTTTCTTTGTTTTTTTGGCTGAGGATTACCACAGCCCTTCTGGCTCATTCCTTAGCCTGCCTGACCACTTGATCAGACCTTAGGTGTTGTATTCACTTGAACTTGCATCAAAGTTGACAGGTTTGTGGCATCATGTTGCTATTGGGAGTCTCAGATTTCTATACATTATATACAGATGATCATACACAAAATTGCTCCTGATTTCAACTTCGTAGAAAACTGTTAGAAAGGTTTCCAAGGAGGGAACAGGTGCTCAGGAGTACTGGGGACCACTTAGACAAGCTGTACATATGCAAGACAATGGGACTTGGCAGAATGCGTCCAAGGCTGCCACATCACTGCGAAACCACACTTTAATGTCCTTGAGAAGCCATGGAGTTGAGGGGAAGTCCCAGCTGACTGGAAAAGGGCAAATATTACACCCATCTACAAAAAGGGAAAAAAAAGATTTGGGAAATTACCAATGAATCAGCCTTACTTGAGTCCCTTGAAAAATAGTGGAACAGGTCCTCATGAAAGCTATTTCCAGGCATGAAAGACAAAAATGCAACTAGGAGAAACCAATTCACTTCAGCTCACTCAACCCTGTCCCACTGTCATCAGTTCATTGTTTGCTTTGTTACTGCTTCTGTAGAAACTTGGAAGGTTGACCTTACTTATGAAGATCAAAGCAAAGAAGGCATGAAGGAAAATCTTCACGTTTCCCTCTGGCATTTGTAACTAACTGGCCAACCCCACTCAGCAGTGGACCTGCTTTTTCCTTCTGCTTGCTAACATGCATACAGTATATTAGTACTTACTACTCTTGACATACTTAGCTGGGCTTTCACTCTTCATCTCTGCATGCCAGAGTGGTATTTCTAT